TAATTATGTAGACTCTGTTAGGTCTACATCACTGTCTGTTATGAGTCTCCACAGAGAAGACAAGAGACCAATTTCCTTGTTCTTGCTTATATACTGTTACTGCCTGCTACATCACTTTCTGCCTGGATCACTGACTTCTCTTTACTACATTTCCCGGAATCCTCCTAGACTCCTAGTCCCACCTATCTTGCTTCCCTGTTGGCCAACAGTGCTTTATTCAACAACCAATAAGATAAACATGTACAGAAGACTTCCTCCATCAGAGTGGTCTAACAAAGAACTGAATGGTCAATAACTAGGCAAATAAAGGATAGGCAGGGCTGGCAGGTGGAGAGAGAATAAACAGGAGGAGAAATCTAGGCTCGAGAGAGAAGAAGGAGATGCCCAGAGCTGGAAGCCAGGCAGCCGCCACAAGAAGCATAAGAAGGGAGAAAGGTAAAAAGCCCAAGGCAAAAGGAAAAGAGAAGCAGGTTAAAAGAGTTATCCAGAAGCAAGCTTAACCTAGGTCGAGCATTCTTTTCTTCTCTTTTTTTAAATATAAATTAAAAACAACCTTATTTCACATACCAATCCCAGTCCCCTCTCCCTCCAGCCCTCCAATGTTCCCCACCAACCCCCTATCACACTCTGCATTCACTCCCCAGGGAGCTTGAGGCCTCCCATGAGGGATCATCAAAGTCTGTCATATCATTTGGGACAGGGCCAAGGTGCTCCCCCATGTATCTAGGCTGAGAGAGGATCCCTCCAAAGGGAATGGGCTCCCAAAGCCTATTTGTGCACTGGGGATAAATACTGGTTCCACTGCCAAAGGCCCCATAGATTGCCCAGACCCCCCAGCTGACACCCACACTCAGGGTGCCTGATTCATTCCTATACTGGTTCCCCAGCTGTCAGACTGGGGTCCCTGTGCTCCCACTTGCTCAGGTCAGCTGTTTCTGTGCGTTTCCCCAGCATGGTCTTGACCCCTTTGCTCATCACTCTTCCCATTTTACAACTGGATTCTAGGAGTTCGGCTCAGTGGTTAGCTATGGGTCTCTGCTTTTGCTTCGATCAGCTACTGGGTGAAGGCTCTATGATGGCAATTAAGGTAGTCATCAATCTCATTACAGGGGGAAGGCATTTAAGGTAGCCCCTCTACTATTGCTTAGATTCTTAGTTGGAGTCATCCTTGAGGATTCCTGGACATTTCCCTAGTGCCGGATTTCTCTTTAAACCTATAATGACTCCCTATATTAAGGTATCTCTTTTCTTGATATTTTTCTGTATTCTTCCCTTGCCTCGATCTTCCTGATCCTTCATGTTCTCCTCTCCCCTCCACCCCTTCTCTTCTTCCTACACCTACCCATCCCCATGTTCCCAATTTGCTCAGGAGATCTTGTCCCTTTCCCCTTCTCTGGGTGTTGATGTATGTCTCTCTTTGGGTCCTCCTTGTTTCCCAGCTTCTCTGGGGTTTTCGATTGTAGGCTGTTATCCTTTGCTCTATGTCTAATATCCACTTATGAGTGAGTACATTCATAGTTTTCTTTCTGGGTCTGGGTTACCTCACTCAGGACGATTTCTTCTAGTACCATCCATTTGTCTGTGAATTTCAAGATTTCATTGTTTTTTTTCCCCCACTGAGTAGTACTCCATTGTGTATAAATGTACCACATTTTCTTTATCCACTCTTCATTTGTGAGGCATCTAGGTTGCTTCCCAGTTCTGGCTATTACAATTAATGCTGCTATGAACATAGTTGAAAAGATGTCCTTGTTGTATGAATGTGCATCCTTTCAGTATATGCCTACGAGTGGGATTACTGGATCTTGAGGTAGACTGATTCCCGTTTTCCTGAGAAATTGCCATACTGATTCCCAAAGTGGCTGTACAAGTTTGCACCCACCAGCATTGGAGGCATGTTCCCCTTTCTCGACATCTTCTCCAGCATAGACTGTCATTGATGTTTTTAATTTTAGCCATTTTGACAGGAGCAAGATGCTATCCCAGAGTTGTTTCAAGTTGCATTTCCCTGATGGCTAAGGATGTTGAGCAATTTCTTAAGTGCCTTCCAGCCATTTCAGACTCCTCTATTGAGAATTCTCTATTTAATTCTGTAGCCCACTTTTTAATTGGATTATTTGGTGTTTTGGTGATTAGTTTCTTGAATTCTTTGTATATTTTGAAAATCAGCCCTCTGTCAGATATGGGGTTAGTGAATATCTTTTCCCTTTCTGTGGGCTGCCTTTTTGTCTTGTTGATTGTGTCCTTTTAGGTTGAGCATTCTTAATAACAAGGTTCCATGTCATGATTTGGGTTTTGGTTGGTAGCCCCGAAGAAAAAGCCTGGTACAATATGCATATGACTAAAATCTTTTACATAATGGGAAGAAACATGTTACTTACATTGTCCAAGTCTATCCAAACTACATCCCTAGTCACTGAACTCCTGTCTCTGAACCCCATAAAAAGTAACCAGAATGAGTGTCGTCACTCATATGGCAGGCTATCAGTCTCAATAGTGTACCTGTCCTGAACTGCCACCTAGTTTTGAATGAAGTCACCTTGCTGCTTTGGAAACTCTATATGTGCCCTTACATCAAGCTTCGAATAAGAGGCCAAGAAGAACCTGGGAACAAGTAGCCCAGACCTGACCTCACATTTGGCAAGCCATCCAGGAGCCGAGAAAGCATTCTTTCCTGTCTCACTGAAGAAATCCCTGAACTGTGGTCCAGTCCTTTTTCATTCCAATGTCTGTGGCTGACAATTGGCCCAACTAGCTAGCTTTGTCAGAGAGCTGTCAGTCCATTTATTAGAGTCATGTTAGTTCATGGGAGTTGTTTTGTGCCCTGAGAAGGAACTTCATAACAATCATTAACGGCCTAAAAGTAAACTATGTGCTGTTCTTGGCATATACCTAATTTAAAGCTCTCTCTCTGTCTCTTTTTCTCTCCCTTCCTCCCCCTCTCCCCCCCTTCTCTCTCAGCATACACGTAGAGGTCAGAGGACAATTTGCAAAAGTTTGTTTTCATATGGAGGCTTAGGTTTGTATATGTATGTGCATATGTATGGTGTATGTATGTATGTATGTATGTATGTATGTATCTATCTATCTATCTATCTATCTATCTATCTATCTACCTACCTACCTACCTTTGGGGAGCTGAGATGTAGGGCCTTACTATATATTATTTTTTCAAAGTCTACCACTGAACCTAGATCTTTGACTGTCTGGCCACTAAGCTACCAGGATCTTCTTGTCTCTGCCTCTCAGTGCTGAGATTACAGACACACTCCACCAAGCCCATTATAAAGGCATGCCAGTATTTAGCATGGAATAAAAGGCAAAGTAACTGTTGGAAAAAGGACATCATTGAATGAAGTTTGTACATCTGAGGAAAGGTGCTCACAAGATGGTATGTCCCAGGCAGACAACGTGCTTCCTTCCTAAGGCTGGGGTCATGTTTTACTGGTGCTGGTGCTTGAATCCATGGCCTTCAGTAGGCTCAGCACACACTTACCTCTGGCCATGTCTTCAGTCTCCAGCAGGTGTTTTTAGGAGGTTGATGTAGGGCTGAGGATTTGGGAAAATGGCCGTGTTGGCTCAGCCCACATGAAGCCCTGGGTTTGGTCTCCTGTACTACCACCAAGAAACATCCCAAAAGAATAACTTTTAACTCCCCTCCAAAGGATATAACTTTTATCAGATGTAACCTAATGTGACTCATTCAACTTTTCAAAGCCCGTTAAAGTGAGATGGTGTGTGTGTAAGCATGGTTGTAAGGAGTTAAATAAAGTAAGTTGCGTTCCTATTTGTTATATATTAGACTTAATGACAGCTACTTCTAATAGGACTGTATTCTCTCTGTGCCATGCTTTCCTTATATTAACAGAATATAGGGAATGATTTATTCCTCGTATCAGTAGAATGGCAAAGTGAAATCTACTACTGGTTGCAGGGGAGACACTGAGAGGAGGGAGGCGGAAACTGAGGTCCGGATGTATTGTATGAAAGAATAAAACAACAAAAACAACCTATAGCCCAAAAGATGAATGCTGCCTCCAGGTCCAACACATCCAGGGCCTTCTCCTAAAAAATGGTTTGCAGAAGCAGAGGCCCGGAGACCTTACGCCCTTCTCTCAGTCAGTAGGCAGAATTAGGAGATGGTAATTTGATTGTATAGGGAATTCTCACAACAAAACTTTGAGGTAGTGGGGCGTGGCCACCCCCTTCTGGGGAATCAAGGAACTGCAAGCACTCCAAAGCCCTGGGTGATGTCAAGCGTGGCAGCATGACAGTGGGCCTGAAGCCTTTCACTCTCGTTTGTTCATTTAGGTAGTAAAGCACACCTTCCTGTGTGGCCAAGGACAGCACCTGGAAAACCACTGGCTCGAATCTACACAGTCTGAGTTCACTTCACTGTCACGAAGAATGAAATGAAGACAGGAAGCCCGTCCTGAGCTAAAGATGAAACCGCTGGGAAGGACATGTCTGAAGTCCCTAACCCTCACCTGTAAAGCGGAAGCCGACCTGACACGGTGGCTTTGGGAAGAGGCAGTGCTGTGGTGCCATGATCGGCAGACAACAAATGCTTGACAGCCACAGCCAGGAGTTAGCTTTCACTCGCCCCTCATGCAGTAATGGAGACCAAACCCAGGGCTTCGTGCGTGCTGGGCCAGCACTCTGCCACTCCCTCCCCCAAATCCTCAGCCCTACATCATCCTTCTAAAGGATCCAAAAGTAAAAGCCCACACTGGATGGGGAAGACATGGCTGGAGGTGAGTGCGTTTAGCCTGCTGAAGGGCCTGAGCTCACACATTGGCACCAGGAAAAAGCATGCCAGCCTTGCTATTAGCAAGCAGCTTTGCTTCACATCACGACTTCCCAGTGATTACAGAACTGCACTCTAAGGAAGTCTGTGGCTGTGTCTCAAGTGTGCATGTGTGTCATTGTTTGTAATTAAAAAAAAAAGATATGTGCGCCCCCAAAAGAGCAAGATGAAACATCATAAACTTTAAAAGTAGTTCACTAAAATTTGTTTATTGTGGCACTAACTTTTTATATGGTTATTCTGCATTTCTCATGAAAGTTAAAACTCCAAGTAGTGGCGAATAACCCCATCTGCAATGCAGCACAGATGACTACAGGTCCTGACTATTGACAGTACCCATGCACTTCTACCTGCCAGACAAAGACTTGGCAGCTTACCAACGGTGTCACAGACCTCCGGTTCTTATTACTGCCCAGTAAATGTCAACAGCGCAGCTAAAAGCCCACACGGAACTGAGCCACATGGAGAAACAGCCACGGGAGCTTGTGCGCATGAGAGTCAAAATACAGACTATTTATTCATCTCCTTCCACTAGGGAGGACGCTGTTCTCAGACAAGTGAGTTATCAGTTGTCAGGCGTTGCTTTTGGAGAATGATCAATGAATTCCTTCTCAAGGGTTGGATATTGAAACCAGGGTCCGTCACCACGGGCACGCATCAGTCTTCGAACTTCAAGCTCCTTTATCCTGAAACAAAGGGAATAATAACGGTGTGAGAACGGACACAGAAGCAGGTGCAGCTACTGCAGTGTCAGCACAGAGGTTCTCAGAAAGCAAAACACCACCACAGGACACGGTTACACACTGCTCATGCGTGTAAGTCAGCAGACCAGACACATAGCTGACCATCCACGGTCCTGTTCACAATAGCTAAGATATGGAAGCAGCCTAGCAGCCCATCAATAGATGAATGGAAAAAGAAAATGTGGTACATATACACAATGGAATTCTATTCAATCACGAAGAAAAAACGCAACCATGTCATATGCAGAAAAAAAAAAAAACGAAGCTGGAGATGATCGTGTTAAGTGATAAAGCCAGATGAGCATGACATGTCTTCTCTCTTATATGGAATCGAGAGTTTATACATACTGATGTGCAGATGTACACAGAACACAAAAGAGGATGGAGAACTGCTAGGGACAGAGTGGGGCCAGTGGAAGGGAGGAAGGAGGATAAGAGAAGGTAAATGGTAGGTAAAGATGAGTAATACACACTGAAGTACGTTTATAAAGATGTCATCAGGAAAGCCATTATTTTATACACCAAAATAAAAACAAACGAAAACACCCCGATAATCCCAGCTACAGATTTGATCACTGTATCCATGAGTGGCTCCTATGCACAGAGCCACATGGAGACAGATCTACTACACATCTAGAAACAGAGTCAGGGATTGATGACTTACAGTGATCAATCTTCCCCACAGGTCTTGCTCCGTGACTGTGAGACAGTGCCTGTCTGTCTTCAACATCTCAATGCTAGTACAGTTAGCCACATACAGAACACGTCCTAATGTGCCCATGTGAGAGTCCTATGCTGTGGGGTGGTGTGACTGCCCTTGTGGGAGACCTCACGCCTCTGCCTATACTGCTGCTATCAGTAAGTAGTAGGAGAGGGAACTTCTGAATGGCCTCCATTTGACATCCTCAACTCAGAGCCCCGCTCAGCTGTCATCCTTTAACCGGGGTGACTGCACAAGACGCATTCCCTGTGCTTCATCCAAGGCCACTTCTTCTCCAGCAACCCTTGACCTTCTGGAATACGCATACTAATCTTTTTGTGCAACTATACCCACTCCATAAGCATTAACCAGCTTATAAGATTATATACGTTTGCAACTGTGACCTAAAGACTAAATACGATCCTTCTTTTCCCTACTCTTTTAAATATAATTGCACAAAATGGGTAACTATAGTAATTAAAAGAGTTCATAAATTTGAGACGGAGTGGAGGACATGGGAAGAGTTAGAGTGAGGAAAGGAAGGGGAGTAGAAATGATGTAAATACAGCACTCATGTAGAAAGTTCTTACAAAAATAAGATGCATGCAAAAAACAAACAAACAAACAAAAAAAAAACAACGCTGAGGAAATGGCTGAGTAAAGTGCTGGCCTCGCAAGGATATGATTTCAGTCTGAAAATCCATGTAAAATCATCTGGGTTTATATTCCACCGCTGAGGATATAGAAACAGATCGTGGACTTGCTAGCCAGCTGCCAGCCTAGTTACTTGACAAGCTCCGGGCCAGTGAGAAACACTGTCTTAAAATTTTTTCTTTAAAAAAGATATACAGAGTGAGAATACTGAGATTGCTCTCTGGCTTCCTTAGACATACACCCCCCCACACACACACAGCTGTATACACACTTACACATATATCTGCACACAGACACACAACAAGAAAAATAAAATCAGAACCAAACAAAGAAAAAAACATAACTAAGACAGTCCCTGGACTGAAGGAAGCACAGTATTCCAGGCACACAACCTCACAGGCAGATCAGCAGCTGAAAGGCACAGTAAGGGCTGTATCTGCACCCAAGCAGGCGCTGTATGAGGGTGGTATCTGCACTGATGGAACTTAACGTCGGACAAGTACTTTCTTAGAAGCAGGTTCACAGGGTTACATAGGGCAGTTTCTAAAGACATGGGCCGGAAGGAAACCAGCCATGCGCAGTGCGCCACTATGTGCACAGAGAAGCTTATTGAAGAGTGACTTTCCAGGGCAGCAGAGAAGGCTCAGCAGTTAAGAGCACTGCTGCACTGACAAAGGCCTGTCACTCTAGCTCCAGATGACGGGACACCGTCTTGTGACCTCCACGGGCTTGTACACACAGAGTGAACACATGTGCACAGAGACATGTACCCACAGCCATGAACTAAAAAAGAAGAGCTGCTTTCGGTACGCTGTCATCTCTCCAGTCAGCAGCAGTCCTCCCTCCTACCAGGCGAGCCCTCTCCCCAGCCTCATGCCCTCCTTCCCATCCCTTTCTCCTACCGTAAGTCAGCCTTTTCAGATTCAATCTGGAGGATAGCCATGGTCTTCTCATAATTCTTTTCGGGAGAATTATAGAAAGTTCTGGCAATCCATCTTGATATTGGGTGCTAAGGAAACATTTATTTAAAATCAATTATCTTCTGAAGGATGCTTGTTTTTCTGATTGACTACTGTTTTAAATGACTAAAACACTATCACCAATAACTTTCACATGCTGAAACTACTTTAAACACTAGGTTCACACTATGTTGCCACCACTTTTGAGATAAGCACCAAGGTAGTAACATTTGACCAGAGCCTGTGTACTCCCTTCACACTGCACTGAGGGGCTGGAGCGCAGGGCAGGGCAGGGCAGGGCAGGAGGCAAACCAAATTCTACTGATCCAAATGCAAATACCTTTTCCCCAGACTACACAAAATATCATATTTATAATTTTTAAATTTAAATTAGAAACAAGCTTGCTTCACATGTCAATCCCAGCACCCTCTCCCTCCCCTCCTCCCCCACTCCCCATCAACTCCCTCACCCCCTACCTCATCTCCCCTCTGCTCCCTAGGGAGCGTGAGGCCCTCCATGGGGGATCTCCAAAGTCTGTCATATCCAAGAATCATTACTTATAAAATTTTTTTTTTAATATTGTGGGCTAGAAAGATGACTGAACAGTTTAGATCACTTGTTGCTCTTGCAGAGGATCTGGGTTCAATTCCCAGCATCCACTTTTTGGCTCAGAACCCTTAGTAACTCCAATTTCAGGGGATCTGATACCCTCTTCTAGCCTCCTTGGATAACGAGCACACATGTGGAATACATTCATATATTTAGGCAAAACACCCAGTCATAAAATAAATCTAAAAAAGAATTTTTAAGTTAAAAATATATCATCTACTTAATGTGAAAAACTATATCATAATTGTCTAATTTACCACAACACTAACAAGCTATCCAATAAGAATTTTAAAGAGCTATGCGAACCTTGTAATACTCCCAGTGTTCTGGGATGTAGCCTTCTGGGATTTCTGCAAGTTCGGCTTCACCTAGTTAGAGAAGATGACAATGGCACTCAGTTAGCACTGACAGTCACCAGCCCCACACCAGCTCTTCCAGAGCAGTGAGCAGCCAGCTTCTCGTGGTTCTAAGGGCTGCTCCCTCTAATGCGCTAAACTCACTGGAGGGAGATCAGTCCCTCATGAGGGGTTCTAGCCATCTAAGTGTACAATAGGACCTCCAGCATCTCAGCAGAACTTCCCATGTTGCTCTTATATAACAAGACATAATAAAAGACACACTTTATTTTTTGTTCCTCTCTGTATCTATCAGACAGAATATTCTAAGACTCAAAATAATTCAGCATTTTAAGATACTGCTCAGAAGACCTTTTACATGCATTTGATGCTTAGAGGACTCTAGGATGAATTTTCTCTCTCTCTCTCTCTCTCTCTCTCTCTCTCTCTCTCTCTCTCTCTCTCTCTCTCTCTCTCTCTCTCTCTCTCTCTCTCTCTGGCTTGTCAAAACTGGTTTTGGAAAAGGAGATGTAGTGGTTTGAAGAAGAAAGATCCCCTAAACACTTAGTCACCAGGTAGCAGAACTGTTTGAAAGGATTAGGAGGATTACGGGGTGTGGCCTTGTTGGAGGAAGTGTGTCACGGGGGCTGGGCTTTGAGATTTCAGAAGACCACGCCAGGCCCAGCTTTTCTTTCTGCATATGAATCATGATGTAGCTCTCATCTACTGTTCCAGCACCATGACTGCCACGGTGCTCCCATGATAATAATGGGCTAAACCTCCGAAACTGTAAGCAAGCCTCCAATTCAAGGCTGTCTTTTATAAGAGTTGCCATGTCATGGTATCTATTCACAGCAATAGAACAGTGACTAAGACAAGACAGAGACAGAAGATAAGACTTTAGAAGCCACCACCTCTGTAGAAATGTCCCCACAGGGCACATGCTATTCTAGAGGTCCCAAAGCTTTCAGTAGGTGGGACCTGGAGGGAGGAATTAGTGACTAGGTCAAGACCACCCTGATTCCAGCAAGCTTCCTCTGCTTCCTGGTACCCCTCCTACTCCAGCATCCACCTCATGGCAGAACAATGTCTCTCTGAAACCATGACAAAATGCAACTTCCTTCCTTTCACTGTCTGTGTCAGATTGTTGGTCACAGCAATGCAAAAGTAACTAATGTAAATGTTTATAATTTCCTTTTTTAAAATTTTGTGTATACGTTTACAAATGTTATCATTTCATGGAGTGAGGCCTAGATGAGGGACTTACCAATAAATATGTTCACCAGCGTTATGCCAATTACAACTGGAATCCCAGTCAACAAAATGTAGAATTTCTATGAAAAAAAAAAAAGGTTTCTCATGATCTTTCCTACTTCTCCCACCAAAATTATCCTCATTCAATTTCCTTAATATCCTTACTAAAAACAAACATGTCAATTTGGGAATCAGAATTACTAATTTCTGTCACATTTCTCTGATTTAGTTCTTAAACACAACTATTAAGTACAGTACAATATATGAAATAACTTTGACTTCTTGGTTAAAGCAATGCAATAAAGAAAATTCTGTAATCGAATACAGTATGAAAATAATAGCATTTTAGCCTCTGAATGTCACTGGAGTTGGTCATGGTAAGAACATCCCTGGATATGATAGCACACACTTGGGAATCCAGCACTCAGGAGGTAGAGGCAGGAGGATCAGGAGTTAAAAGTCAGCCTTGGCTACTTTTAACAGCAAGTTTGAGGCCAGTCTGGGATAACAAAAGGTCCTGTGTCAATTAAAAAAAAAAAAGGGGGCTAAGGAGAGGCAGTGAGAGCAGGAGGAGGGAGGGCTTCTTGGGTTGCCAGAGCTCTGTTGATGAGCATTTCCGGGGCAATGGCAGAGTCCAAACAACCCTCCATTTTTAAGCCTCTAGTTGGTACTCTTTTAGACCATGAGATAGACAAGTAGCATTCTATATAAGCAGATTATTTGCACTACTGCTAAATTAAGAATGTCACCTTAAAACCAGTGCTCAAATAGCATGAATTTAAAAAAAAAATCACATCCTAAAATAGAGGTGCTTCACTACAAGTCTTCCAGTGGGTCTTCTGCTAATTCACAACTGTCTTAGTGATACAAAGAACCAGCTGAGAGGTGCTTCACTACAAGTCTTCCAGTGGGTCTTCTGCTAATTCACAACTGTCTTAGTGATACAAAGAACCAGCTGAGAGGTGCTTCACTACAAGTCTTCCAGTGGGTCTTCTGCTAATTCACAACTGTCTTAGTGATACAAAGAACCAGCTGAGAGGTGCTTCACTACAAGTCTTCCAGTGGGTCTTTTGCTAATTCACAACTGTCTTAGTGATACAAAGAACCAGCTGACTGGCTCAGCTTTTAGGTTCTGAAAACCTTCAGTTTTTCATGGTGCCGGGAATGGACCACAGGGCCTGAGGCATACATGCACTGAGCAACCGTCACCCACCCACCTCATGTTGTGGGTTTACTTTTATACTTGAAGAGGAAGCACACATTGGACTTCAGACCCCATAACTCTGCGCAGAAGGGATGGCTGGCGCTTGACCTGCAGTCAGCATGAACCCCTGTTTTGAAAAAAGGGTTCTAACTATCTTTTAAAAAAATCAGTAGTAAATTAAGACCTTACTACACAATGTCAGTATCTCCGGGGGGGGTAGTAGTTTTAAAATGAAAGATATCTGCTAAATAGGAATACCCCCCAAATTTTGTAGTTAAGAATATTTTCAACTTACCAGTAACCTTAAAAAGCGGTTGTCATAGAATGAAGAAGACTTGATGATGAACAGTCTCTTGCCATGGTCCCCACTGTGGCGCACAGGAGCTGGAAATGTGAGACTGTTTAACAGGGCTCATGCAGGGGGTGTGCAGAGAAGATCATGCGACACTATGAGTGAATGTGCTTTGCTTGCACATCAGATGGGCAGGACAAGTTTCAAAGACTGACAGGCTGTTCTCAAAGACAGCTGCTGCTTTGTTTTCTTTTCATTTTAGGAGTAGCAGGTGAAGCCCAGTCTTCACACATAGGGTAAGCGTTCCTAGTTAGAGTGCTGCTCACTTGATCCCTGTAGCAGCATCGAGCAATCACTGCAGTGTACCTTAGAAGCAGGCAGGGAAGGCAGACACTCTTGACAAGCTGCTCACCTTTGTTTCCCTGACAATAACAACCACACGAACTAACACTACCTAAAAAAACAAAGCTGAAGGGCAGGAAGGTGCTGCAACACAATGGACAGGACTGGCAGTATCTATTCCAATCTCGAGCAGAAACTTAATTATTACAGACTACACACTAGTGTGTGTGTGTGTGTGTGTGTGTGTGTGTGTGTGTGTGTGTGTGTGTGGTATGCTTTGGGCTAAACTCAGGACCTTGTATATGCTAAGTACAAATCACACGACCAACACTGCAGAAGTAACAAGACTAAGAGACCCTGACATATCTTCACAAACCCTTTTAAAAGTTACCATTATGGAAGAAAGTCAGCGGAATGATACTACAAACCATTCACTATTCACTAAGGACTGAAATGCCCATTCGTGTGCAGGTCCTCTGCTACGTCTGGAGTCCAAGATGGGTACAGACCGAAGACCCAGTGGGAGGAAAACAGTGGACAAGGGATCTCAAGTCCATGAGAGTAGCAAAGGGAAGAAACAGAGCCAGCAGCAGAGAACAGACCAGAGGAAAGAGCCAGTTCAGAGAGGCCAGTGGAGGGAGCAGAGACCAAGCACTGCTCACTCACGGAAGAAGTTGGTTGGGTTTGTTCTACCTGTGCTGGCTACTTTTATGTCAACTTGACACAAGCTAGAGTCATTGGAGAGGAGGGAGCCTCAAGTGATAAAATGTCTCCATAAGACTGGGATGTAGGCAAGTCTGGAGGGCATTTTCTTAATTAGTGATTTATAGGGAAGGGCCATGCTTGGGCTGGTGGCCTGGGTTCTATAAGAAAGCAGGCTGAGCAAGCAAGTAAGGAACATCCCTTCATGGCCTCTGCCAAATTCCTGACTCCATGTTCCTGCCCTGTTTGAGTTCCTGGCCTGGCCTCCTTTGGTGATAGACTACACTGTGGAAGTGTAAACTAATGAGCCCTTCCCCTCCAACTTGTTTTTGGTCATATTTCATCACAGCAACAGAAACCCTAATAAGGCAAACTGGAACCAGACAGGGAGTATTGCTGTGACGGACCAGACCATGTTGTTGTGGAGAGAACTGTGGAAACACTTTGGAACTTTGAACCAGAAAACCCATGGTATACTCAGGGCTCAGTGAGCTGTTCTGTAGAGCTGGCAAGATAAGAACGTGGAGAGCAGTAGAGTTGATGGAAACGGCTTGTGGAGGTTTCACAGGGAAGAAATGACTCTACTATTGGTGAAAGTGAATGGCAACAATGGTGGAATGGAGCCAGCGGGAGCCTAGAATACAAGCTGTGAGCACCACGAAGGGCAGACCAGAGAGGAGGCCCAGCCCTTTGGAGGAACCCAGAGGACTGTGAGTAAGGTCCAGATACTGGACGTTAAGTTACTTATACTGTTGAAGTTCAGTTTTGTTTTGTTCACATTGTGACTATATCCCAATTCTTCCCTCTTGAAGTGACAAGGTACTCTATTTTTTATTTTATATTTAGCCACAATTGGTAGATTTTGAATTTTAAAAGAGACTGGCTATTTTTAAAGGATTGAATTTTATAAAGAGTGTGTGGCCTTTAAAGTTGGAATGTTTACAATGTAATGTTGATATTAATGTGTGATCTTAGGGAAGAACAAGAATGGAAAGGTTATGGCTTAACAGAGATGTGTTTGCATGTTAAGTTGGCAAGGGGTCAATTGTGTTGGCTAGTTTTATGTCAACTTGACACATGCTAAAGGAGGGAACCTCAATTGAGAATATGCCTCCCTAAGAGGCATTTTCTTAATTAGTGATTGGTGAGGGAGGACCCAGCCCATTGTGGGTGTGCTACCCCTGGGCTAGTGCTCATTGGCTCCCTATGAAAGCAGACTGAGCCAGCAAGCCACGTGAGCAAGCCAGTAAGCAGTACCTCTCTATGGCTTCTATACCAGCTTCTGCCTCCAGGTTCCTGCCCTGTTTGAGTTCCTGTCTTGACTTCCTTTGATGATGAACTACAATGTGAAATTGTACACTAAAGAAACCCTTTCCTCCCAAATTGCTTTTGGTCATGGTGTCTCATCACAGCCATAGAAACCGTAATTAAGACACAACCTAAAACATGCAATCCACCAAAAGGATCTCTCAAAAGACCCAGAACCTAGATTCCTGTGAATGCCCTGAATGGGTACAGATTGTGGTAGTTTGTATAAGAATGGCCCCCAGACTCGTATTTGAATGCTTAGGGAGTAGCATTAGGTGTGGTCTTGGAGGAAATGTGTTACTATGGGTGGGACTTGGAGTTTCAAAGCCCAAGACAGGCCCAATGCCTTGTTCTTTCTGATGCCTGCCTATCTAGATATAGAACTCTAGGCTCCTTCCCCCGTTACTACCTGGTCCAAAATCCCAAGTCCCCTGCCAGGATTTCATCACTTACCCATGGCATACTGACAATGATTCTGAGAAGGGACAGTGAGGTGGCTCAGAAGGGACGGGCATTCATTGCCAAGATTGATAACCTGAGTTTGGTCCCCAAATCCCAAATAATAGGAGAACTGATTCCCACAAGTTGTCATCTGACCTCTACACATATAGGCACTTGGGCTTTGGGTCCAGGTTCTCCTCCACCCCAATCAGGTCCTGACCACCATTGGCCCCACCCCCTCAACACCTAGGTCTTCCAAAAGCCCCGCATCCAGACATCAGAAAACCCATCCACTACTTCTGCCAATTTCACTTGTCCAATGATTCTAATATTCATTTTACACATTGTATCCCTTGTCTGAGTTCACAGTACTTTGTTCACATATCTTGTGATGTATCAGCTTTAAAATGGGAAGGAGTTCAGTGTTTCCCATTCATAAGATGGAAGTCTTGCTGTATGAGCCTGTGGCAAATCATGATGGGGAGTTTGTAACATAACAAACTGCTCATCTTCTAGAGGCCAGGAAGCAGAAAAAGGAAGAGGAGGGGCTGGCGCCCGAAATATTCCCTCCAAGGGCACAACTCCAATGACAAGAGGATCTTAGATTGGAATTACATTCTCAGATGCTTGGAAATGTACAAAATGAGGTAACAAGCCATAAGCCACATGGCAACAAGTAAATAAATAGAAACTGGTTAATTTAAGTCATAAGAGCTAGTTAGTAACAAGCATAAGCCTACGGCCAAGCTTTCATAATTAGTAATAAGTCTCTCTGTGTGTTATTTGGGAACTGGCAGGTAGGAAAGTAAAGTCTGCCTACAATTCAAAGCCAGCCTTCGATGCAGAGTGTATTCAAGACCAGCCTGGGCAACTTAGCCAGGCTCTGTCTCAAAATTTCATAAGAAAAAGAAAAAAGAGGGCAACCCAGGGGAAAGAACTCAGCTGAAGAGCATATGCAAAGGCTTGTATTTCATCAGCAGTACCGAAGAAGCAAATAAATAACAGGACAAATTTCATTCTATGTGTATTTTATAATTTGTTCTAGAAAGACTAATGCATGGATGTAGGTGCATGGGGTGCATAGGTGCAGGTGCATGGTGTGCATAGGTGCAGGTGCATGGAGTGTGGGTGCAGGTGCATGGGTACAGATGCATAATGCGTGGGTGCGGGTGCATGATGCTAAAAACGTTTCCTATTCAACATTTCACAACTCTTTGACATCAACGATGATCATCTTCCAGATGAGGAAATGAAGGTCATGACCAAATGCCTTCCACTTTAGTTTCCAAGAGGTGTTGACTCAAGGTCATAGAGCTTCTAAATTCTGCAACCAGGATTTGAATCTAGGCAGTCTAGTGCCAGAGAAAAGAAGACGGGGTCAGGGCTTAAAGCTTTCTGGGATACTCAAGGAAACGGTGGAAGAGATGAAACTTTCAGGAGACAATGACACAGTATGCCTATGAAAGCCGTGATACAGTGAAACAATCTCTATCGGATCAAGCAGCTAGGAGACATTCCCTGTTGATCCTCTCAACAGGGACACCCAACCATAAAATTATTTTTGTTGCTACTCCATAATTGTAATTTTGCTAGTTATGAATCTCAATGTAAACATCTATTTTCCGGTGGTCTTAGGAGACCCGTGACGCCTGGGGTCGTGACCCACAGATTGAGAACCACCGCAAGACAGCAAATTTATGACTGCATTAACATACAACAGAAACAATCTGGGCTGAACCCATCATTACACACTCATCAACACTACAGTATTTTTCAAAACACAAACATTTTTCGTGGACTTCTAGAACGTCGTGAGCTGCACGGGCAGCTACTGCTGTGCCTAGTGGAGCTGTCACCCTGGAGTCTTTTTTCCACTCGTGCCTATGAACATCACAGCCTTTATTTCAGTGCGCTTCTCGGGTTAGAAGCAGCTTCAGGGGCCACCTATGCAGACTCCGCCGTGAGTCCGGCGATGTGGCGCAAGCCTGTAATCCCAGCACTCGGGAAATGGGGCCGGAGGGCGGGAGGTTCGAACCTCCGGGGTTGTACCAGCCCAGACCTGGTCTCGATGCGTTGCCCTTGGAGACGCGGGCCGCAGCTCCACGCCGGGCCAGCCCGGCTGCAAGGAAGCAGCGCCCGGCACGGTGAGCGACAACGTGCTTCGCAAAGCTAACAAGAGGCCACCGGTGGCCGCAGCAGCCCCTCACACAGCCGGCGCGGCGCCTCCTCTAGAAACCCCAGGCCAACTTTGTCCCCGCTCCCTCCCTCCGAGGTCCCCAAGGTCACCTGCAAACAGCCCTCCCACCTCTCACCCGCGTCCCCAAGGCCTGCACCCACCGACAGTCTTCGGAAAGGTCCGTGTGAGAAGACTTCCGACCCCGAGTCTAGTGCCAGCACGGCGGCCAGACAGCGCTGTCAACGCGGCGACCGAAGCCCGCTGCAGCAGGCTCATGGCCGCCATGGCTACTCCCGGCAGCGGAGGAAGTGGAGTGAGCAACGGGAGCCGGGAGGGACAATCCACCTGTGACCGCGAAACCTGGAGGCGGCCATGTTGAGTAAGGGCAGCGGCCGGTTTCTGTTCGCTTCATTTGTAGGCGCTGGCGGACAGAAGTAACGACATCGTAGCTGGGGACCGCGAAGAAAGCCGCTCGAAGCTCCATGGTGGATTAAGGGTGGGCGGCGGGGAGAAAGCAGTGAGAGCGGCCGTGTTTAGTAAGGGCAAAGCCTGTTCCTGTTGGCTTCACGAGTCGGCAGACAACGCCGGAAGTGACCTTGTGGGCCCCAGCTCAGTGGGCCTGCTGTAGAGACATGGCTGCCACCAGTGTAGTGGGTGTTTGTAGACGAGTCTCGGCGTTCCTGAAGACTGTGGGTTCCCTAGTAAATCCCCAGGCCCCCGCTCGTTCCGGGTAAGTGATGCAGGGGGGATGGCCGCCCCCGTCTTTGAGTGCAGGGAGCATTGGGACGGAGGCCACCTCGGGGGCAGAGGGCGTGGCCTTGGGGTCGCCCACCCCGGCGCGTCCGGCCCTCCGCCAGCGTTCTGGGGCTGCGCTCCGTGCTGGGGCTGCGGGCGGACGCGCTCCGTGCTGGGGCTGCGGGCGGACGCGCTCCGTGCTGGGGCTGCGGGCGGACGCGCTCCGTGCTGGGGCTGCGGGCGGACGCGCTCCGTGCTGGGGCTGCGGGCGGACGCGCTCCGTGCTGGGGCTGGGTGGGTCGGCAGGGACGTTTCCGAGGAGTCGCTCTGGGGACGGACGACCGTGCCGGGCGTGAGACAGAAGGGATTGATTGGGACCGTCGGGCTCCGACCCCGATTGCCACGCAGCTACTAAGTGATGAGAGTCGACAGAAGGTGTTTCTGCGAGCGTGAGAAAGAGACAGCTTCCTCTTCGTTGACACTTGCCCACACCAGCCGAGTTTTGTAACTGAAGGAAGCAACCCATGTTTGGTTCTGTGCGTCTATTGTGCTCGGGGTTGTTAACACTAACTTCGGGAATTGGCTTTTTAAAATTTTTGCAGAGCTGCTACTTGATCATGGTGACAAATTTGAATAAATTATTTCGTCTTTCATCATCCTCTTTTCTTTAAGAATGAAATAATTTAGCCGGGCGTTGGTGGCGCACGCCTTTAATCCCAGCACTTGGGAGGCAGAGGCAGGCGGATCTCTGTGAGTTCGAGGCCAGGCTGGACCGACAGCCTCCATAACAGAGAAACCCTGTCTCGTAAAAACCAAAAAAAAAAAAAAAAAAAAAAAAAAAGAATGAAATAATTTGGGGCTGGAGAAATAATAAATAATAAAATAATTTGGGCCTCAGTGGTTAAGAGAACTTGTACTTAAAGAGGTTCCTAGCACCCACATAGTGAGTGGCTCACCAGCATCTTTAACTGGGGATCCGAGGCCTTCTTTCGGACCTCTAAAGACATCAGCCACACACTCGTGGTGCGCACACATGCAAAGAAAACATTCAGATACATAAGCATTAAATTTTTTGTTTTTGTTTTTTTGTTTTTTTGTTTTGTTTTTCGAGACAGGGTTTCTCTGTGGCTTTGGAGGCTGACCTGGAACTAGCTCTTGTAGACCAGGCTGTTCTGGAACTCACAGAGATCTGCCTGTCTCTGCCTCCCAAGTGCTGGGATTGAAGGCGTGGGCCACCGTCACCCGGCTAGCATTACAACTGTTTAATGAAATAATTTTAGTGTGTTTATTTTTAATAAGTACCCATCACTCAGAAGATGGTAAAGGCAGTTGAGGACTACCAGATGAACGCATTGCCATTAGTCCTTTAGTTTTGCAGGTAAACACATTTCACTTACCATTATTTCCCCAGAACAATAGAAAAGTTTTCAGAGTAAAATAGTAACTATATACTCTTCGCCCAGAATAATCAGTCATTGCCATCTCGTCACATTTTTCAAAATCTCAGTGTTTGTGCTCCTTTTTCTGCTCTATTTGACAGAGGTCAAATTTCACACATGGAACCAAGGACATTGCCTTACCAAGTATGACCCAGTGGTCACACTCAGGAATACTCTGCTGTTATTTAGCATACAATCAAAAATAAAAGTGAAAATTGCACTAGTAATTCCTTTCCCTATTCTTTTTTTTTTTTCTGTTTTCTTTGTCTCCAGTTCCATTCTTTTGTTCGGGACCCAATGAAGGATCATTTATTGCTCTAGTTGTCATTATTCCATTATGTTTCTTATTACTTTGTTGTGATACTGGCATTTTGGGTAGAACATAAAAACAAGTGTATTGTCAAGGCAATTTACTCTTGGTTCACAAGACAGCACTTGAGAAACATTTCACATTTTGTTTTTAGGTCATTTTACCAGGTCATTAAATAATTTTAGAAATGTAATTTATAAATTAATGCATAAGATTTTCATGCAGCTGTACAATTATTAGCAATCCTTTGGTTTTATGTTTATGAAATTCACAATGCTTTGATAACACATTTAATTCCTTTGTGGACATCTTAACCTGTGAACTCCCTTCTCTAATGTTAAAAATCTATAGATACAGAATTACTGGCTTAAAGGAGAAATGACTTTCAGAATGGTTTTGATCTACTCATAGATTTACTTGCTACAGTGGAGGGATCGTCTAGAAATGTTACTCTAACTTATAATCGTGGGGGCCAGCAAATGGCTCAGGGGTAAAGAGTCCTTGCCATTCAAGCCTGATGACCTCAGTTTGACCCCAAGAACCTAGGTAGTAGGAGCTGGATGCCATGGCACACATTTTCCATCCCAGCATTCCTGGGCCCAGATGGGAGGCAGGGAAGAGAGGAGCACCCAGAAGCTTTCAGAGCTGCTAACCTGGAGTATTCAGCAGAACAGTATAAGGTAGAAACCGCCTCTGCAAGATGGGAATGTCCTCTGACCTCTACATGTGTGTCATGGCACTAGCAGTAAATAAAAAGGTATACATATGTAATTGTGTAAATCTGTTGTCTCTGAAAGAATGGGTAACAATCTGGACAATGAAAGATACTTTCTAACACATTTTAAAAGTTTACTGTCTCTGGGGTCAAAATCCTGGGTAGAACTTTTAACATTGTAATAAAGAAATGCTTCTTGCTTATAAAATCCAAACATTATAAGCTTTAACCATTACTTACTTGTGTTTACTTGCAGGGTTTCTCTTAGTTTATTGCATAAGAACACACCACATGTCACATCTTTTCTTCAGTGTAAATTACTTCACACCACGTTGTCAAGGAAAGGACTAGAAGAATTTTTTGATGACCCGAAGAATTGGGGAGAAGAAAAGGTCAAATCTGGTGAGCTCTTTAAAATAGTCTGTATTAATGGATTGAGCCCTCCATCATCCTAGGATTATTCAGTTAAGGATTTCCTCTTAAAATTTCCTTTGCATTTTGAAGATCATTCTCGTAACTGAAGGTTGGTAGAATGTTTCAAAGAGGGGTACTTTGAAAGTGTCAGCTAACATGAGGTTTGGGTTTATTTTAGTTGGCATTAAGTAATAATTTAAAATAAATTGTAGTGACATTAGGGAATAGAAATGCATTTGACACAAATAATAGCAGCCCTTGAATGCTGTTACAGAAATGTTATTGATAGTTTCATGTTACTTAATTGAATTCCAGTCATATATAATATAATAACTCTACCCCACATTTTACAGAAACAGATTTTGAGATTGGGTAATCCACTTGGGGCAGAGTTAGAAGCATTATGTAATGTTACATATTTCTCTATTCATAGGAGCTTCGTGGACCTGCCAGCAGCTAAGGAACAAAAGTAATGAAGACTTACATAAACTTTGGTGAGAGTTTGCATATTGGACTGTTACAATTTAACAGTGGGGTCAAAACTGCACCCATGTGATAAAGAATTGGGCAGAATGATTTGTTTCCTGGTGCCATGGGTGATCATATGAGCTTTGTCTAAATATGACAGATGTTTCACGGATCAAAGATAGGAAATGTAAGGTTGTGCTGTAAGAGGCTGACTGACGTCCTTAGGCTAGTAGTGTCAAGAAACACGCTCAGAAAAGACTTGGGGACTGGTTGGCCACATTTACACTGCCTTCCTTTTTCCCCTTCCCCACTAATTTATTATTGCTTAATATAAACGCTGACAGAAAGCAGATAAAGACCTTGTAGACTTTACAGTCCAAAAGGTGACTCACCTCCTACTTGTTGAAATGAACCCTGTTATCTGCAACTCATAGGAGCCTTGAACCCTAATTAGGAACAGCAAAAGGCTGAATAGGTTTCTAAGACAATAAAGTAACAACCATTTAACAAAATGTGTGGTCTTTGGTATAAATAGCATGCACACAGAGAAGACAAAACCCTGTAAAAATCTGCAACAAGTGGAGGGTGGACTTCTGAGATCCAGAGTTCTTTGCCCTAAATACACTCCTGTTTCCTTTCCCACCCTGTTTGTTTGGAAGGCTGTTTAAAAACTAGAAATATTAAACAAGAGAAATGTTCCATTTCCAGCAAGGTTATTTTTCTTTGTTCTAAAAGAACATTCAGAAGGTAATGTCTCCAACCAGAGTCTCACCATGGGCCAGATCATTCACAACTTCTGCCTTCCTTTTTATTCTGTTCATGGCCTGGGGTTTTAGCCCATTATCCCCGTGAGTTGTGTCAAAGGGTATGTTCATTGTGAATGCAGGCACATGGCCCTGATGAGTCTGAGACTGTTGAGACAAAGTTACAGTCTAGTATTTAGCCCGAAGCTGTTTTGTTTAAACATACTTGTTTGGGGGACGTTTCACGTGATATATGCAGGCTTTGGCTTCTCTTGACTAATTAGACTGACAGCACCGGTCAGTGTGCGTGCGCAGCAGTGCCTTCCCAGCTCCCGTCAGTGTGCGTGCGCAGCAATGCCTTCCCAGCTCCTCCTCTGTTTGCTGTCTGTCACCCAACCCACTTCACTCATAGTTGTCACCTCCTGGGCACTCTAGAAGACATTTAGTTTATCCCAATCTGAAGGGTATTTCTCTTTCTTGGCAGATTAAAGAATTACACAGTGCTTACAAAAAATCCACTCATACTGTGCTCAGTTGTTACAGAGAAGTAAGTTTTAGTTAAAGTACTCTTTAACTAAAGAGTTACAATAAAGGTGAACTTAGGGCTGCTTCAGCACTCACTGTGCTAAAACCATGTCTTCTGCCACTCCTTCCCTCAGGACTGTAGAGCCTAGGATAAAGTCCTGCCCAGTTCCTTAGTCTCGCCTGCACTGCCCTCCACAGTTACTGCTGTAATTCTGAAACGGGCACCCACAAGGCCCCTCTCCCCAGCTCAGCCAGGTCAGTGCTCTGGGTGTGTCTGCTTTGTCCCCTTCCATCTTAAATCCCGTCACTAGGAAGCTTTCTCTGCTCTCCTTAGCTCTAAAGGAGGTATCTCATGTCACTGCTTAACTTTTGTAATAGTGTCGTCTCCCTTACCCAGTAGATCACAGTGGCGTTGCAGGCTAGTGGTAGAATTTACACAGAGGGTCTAAGATTTGAACCCAGAATTGCTTTGTGGCCCATTGTCTTCATTAGAGAGGGGGCTTTCGTTGCGCCCAATCCCAGGGATGTGGAGAGATTGGAATGCTCAGCATGGAGTGTTAACTGGTAGACGTGGCCTCCCTTCCCTGTGAGGTGGAGGACTTTACTAACCCTGGCCGGCTCACGAGGTGCACAGCCTGGAGGGCGGCTCTTCTGAATGCTGCCCTGTGTGAGGTTCCCAAGGACTTGAAGACTTTGGGGGCTTTTAAATTTGATGTCAGAAATCACTATAGAATAGCATTGTGTCTTTGTATTTGGTACAGGTATGTCCTTCTGAAGGAAAGAAACATGCTTCTAACTCTAGAGCAGGAGGCCAAGCGACAGAGATTGCCAATGCCAAGTCCAGAGCGGTTGGAAAAGGTAGGCTTGAGGGACCTAAGACTCCGGGTAGGGCAAAAGCTAAAAGGGAATGAGTATATGGTTCTTACATTTCTTTCAAACCTTTCTTCTGTTTGCGTGGTTTTTAATTAATTTGCAGTTTTATGCACCACGGCAATAGCGTCACTTAAGAGCGTTTTGTTACCCCCCCCAACAAGTGTCATGCCCCTCTGCTGTCTCCTTAGTCTTAGCTGCAACTTCCAGCCTGCAGATGGGTATTTATTTTGTTTATCTTGAGCAGGATAACGTTAGGTGGGCATTCAAACTGAGGATGCTGGGAGACACCAGCCAGCTAGCCTCTGAGGTAATAAGACATTAGCCACCTGGGCAAAGCATAGATAAGAAATCTAGGTTAATTTAAATGTAAGAGTTAGGTAGTAACAAGTCTGAACTATCAGCTGAGCCTTTGTAATGAGTATTAAGACTCTGAGTGGTTACTTGAGATTGGTATGTGCCTAGTGTTATTACGACTTGATATGCCGTATTTGGTTGATATCCCAGAGGCCTGCCCTTTTCTGAAGGGAAACAGAGAAGTGGATCTAGGGAAGAACTGGGAGGAGAAGAGGAAGAGGAAATTGCAGTCAGGATGTCATGTATGAAGAAGAGGAAAAGATGTATCTTCTTGCGTCTTAATGAGTCTTAACATCCCTCCCTGTGAGAACAGGGGTTGCCAAGCAGGCCGGCCAGAGTACCTGCTGAACGTGTGAGGACAGCAGTGGCCTGTCCAGGGTAGATGTGTGTTTTGCTCTGACAAAGGCAGGGAAGGTTATGCATCCCGTTAGCTTACTGCATTTTCAAACAGCATTAGAGCTGTGTCCATTCCAAACAGAGCTGATACATGGAAACCAAAGAAGTTACAGAAAGTCATACTGTAGACGCCCATGGACGAACACACACACCTGTGCCAAAAGGGCTTCCTACAAAGTACTAGAAAGAGCAGCTTCTAAATAAAAATGTCAAAGATCGCCTGCTTTGTAAATCTTTGAGTTCTTTTGGATTGCAGTTGTAGGTGATGACTGATGTTAGCTATCTTTTTGTCACCTCAGGTTGTTGATTCCATGGATGCCTTAGATAAGGTTGTTCAGGAGAGGGAAGATGCTCTAAGGCTTCTTCAAACCGGACAAGAAAAGGCAAGACCTGGTGCTTGGAGAAGGGACATCTTCGGACAAATTTTCTGGTACGTGATTATCTTGAGTTCTAAGAGGGGAGACCCTTGCCTTGTTACCCCTCTCCGTGCTCTTCAGACACGTCCCTTGTGGATGTATTAGAGATCTTATTTAAAGAGTGGTTCCCATACCCTAGAGCAGAAAATGTGCACCAAGGTGGCTTTGTCTGGTAAAAACTAATTCCAAACCCCACAACTCATCTCCGTGGGTTCTTGTCTTGTGTGAATCCTGGGTCCTTCCAAGGATTTCATGCAAGTTAGATACTTCTGACAGAAAAATCTGCCTGTACACATGTAATTTGAGATTATAAAACTCATTACTTCTTTACCTACCTTGCCCAGTAAGAACCCGAGACCTGAAAGTTCTATGTAACAAGGTCAGTTTGTGTCACTAGCCATCAGGATAGGCCCTGGGCCAAGTAATGAACACTTAACTCCTTCTGAGAAAGGATCTGGGTGTCAGCATGGACTCTGAAGAATAAAGGACCCTGAGGATCCAGGATAAGCTAACTCACCCCAGAGGAGCCAGGATAAACTCACATGTACCTTAAATGTGAGTCAGCAAGTACAGATGCTTAAGGTGTCTAGACGCTCTCCAAAGCTAAGGCTTACAAACAGCATCTTCTCACTTGATGTAGGATTTCAGCCATCCAGTCAGGAACCATCTAATCACTGCAGAAGGAAAAATTGCCAAAACCTCTCACTTCTGAGGAGCTGGGCTGTGGTGGCCCACACCTTTAATGCCAGCACTTGGGAGGCAGAGGCACCTCGAAGTTCGAGGTCAGCTTAGTCTACAGAGGGAGTTCCAGGACAGCCAGGGCTACACAGAGAAACCCTGTCTCAAAATCAACAACAACAAAACTCTTCCAAGAATTTAGGAATGTAGCACTATTTGAAAAACTTCCGCATGCAATTTTAATTGTGTTTTCTGATAACTAAAACCCACTATTACTTTTAGTTAGTACTTTTAGACACTTCCTTACCTATTTGTATGTGTGCTTGTATGTGTCGTGGCACGTATGGAAGTCAGAGCGAAGTTGGCAGAACTCAGTTCCTCCTGCTCACACACACCCTAGGGGTTGAACTCAGATGGCAAGCTCCTTCTTGCTTAGCTGTCCCTCTGGCCCCGTTCTCTAATAATTGTTATTTGCATTAATTTATTAGGCCAATTAGAAAACAATGAAGATTTTAAGTAAAATGTATGAAATATTTTGTATAAAGCAATAATTTCACTTTTTTGGCAGGCACAAATTCAAGCAGTGGCCTATACCTTGGTACCTAAATAAAAAACACAACAGGAAACGGTTCTTCACGATGCCTTATGTGGATCGCTTTATCAGGTGAGCACAATGCCCTCTTGATGAAGCTGCCTTTGTACAACAGATGGTTTATGCCCTCAGCTGTCTTTATACCTTGATTCCCATTACATAAGTAATACACTTTCATTATCTAGCACTAGGTTAAAAAAAGAAAAGGGAAGTCATATATCTGAAATCTTATCCTCCATAAAGTTCACTGTACCAATAGTTTGTATCCCTTTGGAAGTTGTATGACTTCTGTATGTCTGGAAATAAGAGGGAAATGCTACGGTACCATGTGGAATGTAAGCTCTTATTCCAGGGCTTATGGTAAGGGAGGGGTCTAGGATGATGCCATGCTACATACATGCTGTTACCTCAAGCATTTCCCGTGGTAGATTCTGCATTGAGTTTACATGAGACATGGAGCGTCTGTTACAGAACTGTAGTTGCCCAAGAACCACCAGCTTATACTTAAGAAACTAAGTAAGGTTCTTCTGGAAATTACTTAAAACACTGAATCCATGCCCACAAAGCAGACAAGCCTAAACAGTTTAACCAAAACTGCAGTTAGAAGGGAGACGGGGAGATGCGAGGTTGCAGTGTCAGAATGATAGGTGGCATCCCCAGGGAACATGGTACAAAAGCACTCTTTAGCTAGGTCCACCTGTGACCCCAGCACTGAGGAGGCTGAGGCAGGCCTGGGTACAAGACCAACAGTTAATCTTGCTGCAAATAACCAAAATCTGCCAGAGATACTTTAACTGCTCAGCAAAGCTCTTCACAAACTGATGTTTCTACCTAAAACTTAATCCAGAGAAAAATTTAAGTTTTGTTCGCCCATGTGTGCACGTGCACACTGCCCTACTGTGATAATGTGTGGGAGTTAGAGGACAGCTTGCAGGAGGCAGGCGCCCTGTAGTCCAGGTGCAGGGGATCAGAATCAAGTGCCGCCCCCTGCCGATCCCTAGCACCCGCCAGTGACTTTGTAGCCTGAGCAGTAAAATGTTTAATATACTTTAGAATCAATCTGAACTTTCCATCTTCCTCTGAACCAGCTTCCTTTGGCTTTTTGATTGGGTCTGTGTAACCCTGGGACCTGCCATAGCAGGGCAGCCTAGGATGGAGATCTGCCTGCGGGGATTCAAGATGTGCACACCCAACTTCATTTTTTGTCTGTAGTGTGCCTGTGCAGGGAGGACCCTAAAACCACCTCTTATTTAAGTACTAGTCTTGTGGGTTGTCTGTTCAGATTCTTCCTGCACTGTTCAAATCTGCCTTCTTCCAGTGTCTCTAGTACAGCCCCTTGCTGAACATCCTCGCTTCACCCTTAGGCTTCGTGATTTTCAAGGCTTTTATCACATTGTTTCAAACTATACACTAGCTCCATGTCTCCAAAATACAGCCATACCCTGTACCACCCACTCTAGTTAGGTGCTGCCTTCATCAGTGACAACTTTTACTGTCCCCTGACCCCTTGCTCATTGCCATCCTTGGTGTTGATCCTAAGCTTTGCAATCTGTCCACACTTAGTAGTTAATATGCCAAGTGAAGAACACTTCTCAGTTTCTGCAGGCACAGTATTGGGGTGGCTTGACTTCCACTACTGTTGTATTGTAGTGATCAAGTAGTACTGCTGACGTGACTGACTTTATATACTTAGATTTTTATATACTTGGCTTGCACATGCTTTGAGAAATGGAGTGGCTTTGTCTAATTGCTGTTATGTTTTTATTCTAGACTGAGAGTTGAGAAACAAGCTCGAATTGAAGCAAGAAAGAAAAGCTTACAGAGAAAGAAAGAAAGAATTCTGCAGGCAAAGTTCCCACATCTATCTGAAGACCGGAAGTCAAGTACTGTCTAGGATGACATCAGAAGTGCGGTTCTGGTCTTGCAGTCTGGGTCCTGATGTGAATGTCTGTTAAGCAGTTTATTAAAGAAATGCTCTTGTTCAAATGACATCAGTTGTTCTTCCGGATAAAAAGCATGTTAATTAACCCTAGAAGTGGTGCTGCTTCTACCGAAACCAGGCACAGAGTTCAGGTTCAGTTCCCACTGAACAGGTCGTGACTCTAAGCAGGCTTAACAATGCCTGCTGTCTTGGTATAAATCTGATGCTAGCTGCCAGGTGGTGCAAGACTGGAGTGCATTTGGGAATGCTGTTTTCACCACACTGTTCAAAGTGTGAGGGGGAGGAGGCTGGAAAGATGGCTTAGTGCTTAAGAGTACTAATAGTTGCTCTTCCAGAGGACCCAGATTCAATTCCCAGCACAAACATGGAGGCTTACAACCATCTGAAACTCCACTTGGAGGGGAGCCAACACCCTCTTCTGGCCTCCACAATCACTGGGCACAAGTGTGTTGCAGATAAACATGCAGATGAAACACCCATACACATAATTGTTTAAGCATGGAAGGGACACAGATACTGTTAGCAAAACAGAGATTGCTTCCCACCATCAGAATAATGGAAAAAGCAGTACTGACAACAGCAAGTCACAACACAGACAAGAATCCAAAGCCCTTCTAGGACGGGTAGTGATTTTTATTTAGTTTTGTAAGCCTAAGGTAAAAAGCATAGGCAGTAACTTTTACTAGTCAATAAAAAGTAACTCCACCAACCCACAGGGGAGCTGGAAAGTACTTACTGAAAGAAAATATTTAGAGAAAATAGACATTCATACAAAATTATAAAATGCCTGTAATAAGAATAAGTGCATTTCAAGGAAAGCACAAACTCATTTTAATTTATAGAGCCAGTTAAAGCCTTAAAAAATTTAAGTGGACATTGAAATATGCAAACATTTATAAACATTCTACAAAAGATGTCATCTTTTCCTGAGTGTACTAAAGCTACAGACGTGAGGTGATGGGTGGGCAGGATGGGACCCTTCAAGGACATTTTCTTTCTACACACTGCTTCCCTCCTTCTTCGTATTCCTGCTTGGAAATCCACATCTGTTGAAAGGTACCCTGTAAGACAGAAAGAAGTATTACATAATCATGCCTCATCTTTTATTAGAAGGTAGTGTTTTTACTCATAAATCTTTAACAACTGCTAAACTTTTAAAGTCCCTCCTCCAAAATAGTACTATCTTCCCCCTATTCCTTCTGCCTTCCTCTAAGACATTGTTTAGCCTACCCTAGCCTTTTTGGTCTGAGAGAACACTAAGCCCCTCTATACCTGTTACAGTGAACAGAAATTATAAAGTGGCTGGTAAAGACAAGACAAAGGGTCCTAAGGCAGTAATGGACCCTGCCATTAGGCCCAGGCCAGTATTTCAGCTCTTAGGAGAAAAAAGGTAATGCTCTACCTCTGGCCTCCTGAGACACAATCTCCTGATTCTCCCGCCAAGACCCAGCACAGAAATCCCACTTGGCCCCCAGAACCAACTCCTGATAGCCTCATCAAGAGTTGCGGAATGGTGTGTGCGTGCGTGCGTGTGTGTGTGTGTGTGTGTGTGCGCGCGCGCGCGCACACGCATGCGCGTGTGTGCATGTGTGCGTGGAAGCCCGTGCTGGGTGTCACTCTCCACTGTTTTTGTTTTGAGACAGGATCTTTGTATATAGCTTTGACTGTCCTGGAACTCACTGTGTAGACCAAGGTGGCCTTGAACTCAGAGATCTTCCTGCCTTTGCATATAGAGTGCTGGGATTGAAGACATGTGCCACTACTCCTGTCTGCATTTCACATTTATTTTTTGAGATTGGGCCTTTCACTGAACCTGACACTCACTGATTGGTCAGATTGACTGGTTGGCAAGCCCCAGGATCCTCCTATTTCTCCTAGTGCTGAAACTATAGGAACATTACTCCATGACCAGGTTTTATGTGGGTGCTGGGAATTGAACTCAGGTCCTCATGCTTGTGTGGCATATACTTTACTCATTGAGCCATTTTCCCCAGCCCAAAAACTGTTCTCTGTTGATTACAAAGTAAAATTTGTGGGCATAAAAATGTATATTGTGTGCTGGGCGTTGATGGTGCACGCCTTTAATCCCAGCACTCAGGAGGCAGAGGCAGGCGGATCTCTGTGAGTTTGAGGCCAGCCTGGTCTACAGAGTGAGTTCCAGGACAGCCTCCAAAGCAATACAGAGAAACCCTGTCTCGAAAAACCAAAAACCAAAAACCAAAAAAAAAAAAAAAAAAAAGAGTTGGGGAACAACCAGACTTCAAGAATGAATGATTACTAAATGCTACAACTTACACCTAGGCCTGTGCCAAAAGAGGCCTTACAAGCAGGGGTCAACTGCTCTCCCTGAAAAGGAGAGTCAGTACAGACTGACAAATGTCCACTGATGTTGTACCCCAACATGGAGCCAAGTATGCGGGTGCAAACCTGTGGTCTCAGCGTTCTGGAGCCTAAGGAAGAAGGCTGCAAGGTGAGGCCAGCCTGAGGTTGGAGGGTGGGGTGTCATCCTTATATGTAAATGTGTTTAAGCAGATACCTAACCTACCAGCTCCTTCACTCATCTGTCAGTTTCTAAGAGCAAAGATCAATAAAGCACTGAAATTATTCTTCGAAGTTTTTATTAAACTTAGTATTTTCATTGTTTTAAAGGAAATTTCTGCTTGTATTGAAAATTTATAACTCAATATTGTAATAAATAAAAAACCACTACCAGGAAAACGACAGTGCTGTTCTAGGAAAAAACTTGAGTCAGGGAGGATTACTAATAGTACCAAGAGAGATGTTGATCAGTAGAGAATAAATGTGAAAAAGCATTCTTGAGCCCCAACAATCAGAACCAGGAGAGATGTAATAATTTTTCAGAGAAAAAGATGGAACGCTGTAAGATAATACAATCCTCTTGATAAACTGCTACACATCATCCATTCTCGAATTGCAGCCGCCCTCTCAAATCTTTACTATACAGCTTATCTACTAACCAAAGATGCCAGAATGGAGCCTCCGATCCATGAACTGAACCTCCGCTCCACCGTCGTGTTGTTTGCAATCAGTTTCAACCGCATGCTCTGCAACAGAGGACGCATTAGGATATTAGGACAGCCACAATAGCCAACCTGGGGGCTCAGCGCTGAGAAACCTCCAGGGCCATGCTGCACACACACTTAATCCCTGCACTTGGGACACAGGGACAGGCAGATCTCTGAGTTACCGTCCAGTGTGGTCTACAGCCAGGATTAGGTAACATCCATGTCACACCCTACCTCCCCACCCCCTACCCCCATGCACCTACACATAAAAAGGGAAAAGTACTTCACGTCAAGTAATTTTACATGTTGTCAAGTAGCTAAGATAATAAATGACATAGGTTAGGTAACTTTGTAAAAAAGATCTCAATGAATACGGGATTAAGAAAATAAACTGTATAACTCAGAATTGGGCAAATACAGGCAGCCTGCACCTTGCAAAGTAGGAAAACACACTGGCCTGTAGAAACTGAAACCAAGCTCTAACTTTGGCTGCCTGAAACCTGTCTGAATACCCTCAGCATGACACTTGCCTGCGAATTTTCATCTCTGCAACAATAAAGAGATGACACAGAGCTGGAAGCCTGCTTCCCTTCAACAGCTATACTAAAAATGTTTTATGAAGCTCCTTTAAACACTGTTACTTTGTAATCTCATTTAAAAATGTAAAGATAGAATCTGTGTATGTAACTCTGTGTATTAAACAACAAACTAACAGCTAAGCCAATATAAACAAAAGCTTTTGAAACTGCATAGTAAAAGGGCAGCACACTTAAAATTCATACACACACTAGGTACATTGTCACCTGAAGTCTCCCACCCTACCCACCAGAGCACCCTATATCTGAACTCTACCCATCAAAATGCCAGATTATGTATCTACTGATTCATACTGCTTGTCTTCCAAATCAGTAGTGCTGCCCAGCATTCAGGCTGAGGGGGCAGAATGCGGAGTTAAGCTAGTCTGCTCTACAATGGCACTAAAAACTAAAAACTTAGTGCTTCTGTTTTGGACATGGTATAGCCCAAGCTGACCTTGAACTTATGACAGCCTCCCAGTAGCTCACCAGGTCTGGTTCAATACTGTATTTACCTCACATCCTATATTAAGAGACGTTTCCCTCCTCTCTAGGAATCTCCCTCTGGGGATAATTTTCAAGGCATCCATGTCAGACACACGCTATACAACACATATGTGGAGTGTTTCACAGTGAAATAAGCATATGTGGTGGGGTAGAATGTAGGACCAGGGAAGGTGCTAGTACAGGTGTCTGTTCCAGTATGAACTTTTCTCCTGATATGTTCACTGATTACTTCCTAAAAGACAAGAGTTTCTAAATTCCTCTTAAAGAAAAAGAAAAGAAAAGAAGACTCATTATCTTAAATGTGTATGTCTCTGTGAAGGTATGTGCACATGACTGCTGCTGCCTGAAGAGACCAGAGGACCAGAGAGGACAATGGATCCACTGGAACTGAGTTACAGGAGGTAGGTTCTTACAACTCAGGTCCTCTGCAAAAACATTTACAAAAGTGAGGCAGAGCCATACCTGCAGCCCCTAAAAATTACTCTTCAGCAGGCCTTGGACCATTCATGCCTATAGCTGTATTTATACTTTCTGTAAAATCCACTGGTCAGAATAAGTACTGCAGCTTCCCCTTTAGGGTCAAATGACCTTTCTTTACAGAGGTCGCATATCAGATATCTGCATTACAATTCATAACAGTAACAAAATTATAATTATGAAGTAGCAACAAAAATGTAATAGTCAGGGGTCACTACAACATGAGGAACTGCATTGAAGGGTTACAGCAGTAGGAAGGGTGAGAACCACTGGTCTAGAGCATCATCTCCAACAATGCAGTATGCTGAAGGCGATGTCAACCATGGAAGTGTTAGACACCAAATAGCACTTCTAACTATAAACATACAGCACATGTTAAACACAAGCAGCCAAAACCAAACAATTTCTACTGAAACACATAGAACTCTTTAAAGTCTATTATACCTGGTATCATATTAATGC